CTGGATGGAGATCAGAGTGTGCTTTTGGCTCACAAGGCATGGCACATGAGACTCTTGGGGGTCACTGAATGGGACTAACTAGGCCAGGAGGGACCTTCCTGAGGGTCCTCCAGTGATGCAGGATACTGGACAGGGTCCTAGCAAGCTCAGAGTAATGTGCCAAGGCTGTACTGTCAGATGAAACTCACTGTGTGCACTTTTGGCTCCAGAACACTCAGGGGTCACTGGGTTACTTATTTGAGCTGCACTCTTTCTCCTTCATTCAAAGTTTAGCAAACTCTAACTCAGTATTAAAAAACTCTAACTCAGTATTAAAATAATATTTAAAAACTTTTAAAAAATATTAAAATAATATTTAAAAAACTCTAACTCAGTATTAAAAAACTCTAAACTCTAACTCAGTATTAAAAATGACATTGCACTTATGACCAACTCAATTTCAATTTCTGGTACTAACAAATCTTGTGTCATCCTTTGCTTGGAGTCCCATTGTTTTGAAGATTCATAATTTTCAAGTTTAGGGCATAGACTAAACAGTCTTATTTTTTTGGTAACATTTTTCAGCCTGAGAAACATTTCTTAAGATAACTCTGTAATGAAAAAGAACCTGACACACAAATTGATGCTGACTGTCAAAGTTAGAAATAAAGCTTCACTTAAATGAAAAGAAGAAAAGAAATGGAAAGGGGAAAAGGAACAAAAGCTAAGGTAAGCTAACAAATAATAAGCTTAGGGATCACAACTTTTTTGTCTACTAAGGTTACTTGCATGGATATGGGTATGGATTTCACTAAAAAAATGCATACACACTTCAGGATAAGAAAAAAATTATATGTTTTTATGCAAAATTTATTGTCACATCACAAAATTAATACATATAACCTTTGTCCTCTCCAGTTATGAGATGCTCACAGTAGTGGCCATTCCTTCTATACTTACCAGGATCATTCCCAAAATATTTGGCCCTAATATCTTGTGGTCTAGGGCTTACATGGCATATGCAAGCAGGGAATATAAAGGCAGAATGGCTTGTTAATTGGGGATTTGTTCTTATATTATGCACCAGCTGTTTCTAAGAAACAAAATTAACAGAAACTGTTACCCAAACTATTACCTGGGCAACAAATGAACTGAATTACAGTGACCAGGGTTGGGGGAGCATCTTCTGCTATAAAAGTACTACATAGATAGCCCTGATCAATGTGTCCATTGAGATTGCTGCACATGTATTTTTGAGTTTCTGCTCTAAGGACCAGCAGTGTAGTGGGTATTCTTTGATATGGGATATTAATGCAGAATTCAAGACCAGACCAAATGGTGACATGGCACCAGAGACTTTAGAAGATAGCTTTATTACATGAGTTGGCTGATGGGAATCTCAGTTCCAAATCATCAGCAGTGATTGAAATTTTCAATCATTCATATGTTTCCAAAAGGAAGTACAAAAGGCAGCAAACATAATATCCTATGGCTGGCCACACGTCTTTGTCATTAATTGCTAAGGAGAATTTACTCTTAGCAAGTAAATGAGGTTATTATCATACAACATAGAGAAAGAATCCACCATTATTTGATACTAGGCAGAGATGTCCTTGCAGTGCTAACTCTCTGGAAGTGAGAAGCATGAGAAACATTTCTTTCTCACTGAGTTACACTTTGTCAGTGAGCACAAGAGCTAAGTTCTCTAGGGGAAGAATGATGAGAAGATGAAGAAAATAAAGATAGAAACAGAAAGCTGTGGTCAGGGGGAGCCCTTGTCCCTATAGGAGAAAGAGACTGCTCAACCACCACAATGCATTTATCTGTACACTTGTCATCCCACACTTGTTTAATCAGCTTGCTTCATACACTCCATGTTCTCCCGTATTCTTGAGGCTGGAATACCTTTTCACCTCCAGCACTCCATGCCCTCAGGGCATTTCTCAAGTGCTTCATGTACTCAGGGCACTCCTGTACAGGCACTGAAGCTTTTGGCTCCACATGTGTGAATGACCACTAGCTCAGTGGCTCCCGTCTCCCTCTTCTCTGTACTGATAGTTGACCCAGTTGAATATGGAGGAGCTGTATTTGAATGGCTCTGCAGACAACTTTCTTTCTTATGGTTACACTTTTCTGCTGGATGTTTAAGATCAGCTTAAAATGAGACCTATACCACTCAAAATCTATTTCTTGCTATCTCTCAAGGTCAGTTAAGTCTCCTCAGAAATTATCCAGGAACCAATCACAGCACCTCTTATCCTGTCTGTCAGCCATTTGGATGAGTCATGACCATTGCTTGGCCAAGTCTTACTCCAGGGTCTGAGTTCCTTCTGACCTCTAGCCCTGTGTACCCTCTATTCCACCTTCCTTGCCTTCAGCTGCCCTATTTGGGGGAATGTCTTCCTACAACCACCCTATGAGTTGGGTGCAGTCCCAGGCAGCTCCAGCTCACAGCTGCATCTCAACCTCTGTGGGAAGAGCTCTGGGAGTCCCAGCTTCAGGTAAGAGTTCACTGTGAAGGAGCTGTGGTGTGCTGGTTTTCCCTGGTCTCACCCCTCCCACCAGCATACTTGATGGATATCAATGCTGTAAATGTTTGTGGTACTGGGTTTTAAACTCACAATTTAACTGCTGAGGTCAATGCTCCTTCATGATTAAATGTGAAATTTCTAATATGTTCCCATATAGCCATCCTCATGACAATTGGTGGTAAATGCCATGAGAATCTAAAGACAGGTTTAACATTTTTCAAGTGACTCAGCCCTCAAGTGCTTAACAGGCATGCAGTAAACTGTGTTACATGAGTTACATAGAGAAGTGGGAAAAAACTGAGCATCTAGTAACAAACTGTGCAAGTTAGGACCTTCCACAGAGTTTAAATGCTGAGAAAAATAGAGGTGGTGATAATATATTAGCAGAGGCAGGACAAAATGTTCCTGCTAATGAATCCTTCCAGAAAGGACTTAATGCTGAATGAACTATGTGAAACTCACAGAACTTGAGCATCTAAATAGACATGATTTATTAGGAGTGGAAATGGAAAGGGGTGTCATGTAGCCCTTGGACTGTTTATAGACATAGTTCAAAAAATGGAAATGTTGATCAAACCAGAAATACTGCACTGGGGTAAAACCCTAAATGGGAAGTCTAGGGAGCAGATGAATCTTAAGGATAGTTTTTGTTGCTTTATGTAGTGAGATCCAAACAGGAGAAAAAGTGGGTGAATAGATGAGGGTGGTAAAATCTACACCTACAACAGAAAAGATCTTCCACTAAAGTCAGATTTTTCTTTGTGTGAAAACCAACTGTATCCTGGCACAATCTGAGAGTGGGTCAAAGACCACAGGCTCTATGGAAGGAGAAGTTAATAAAAGATAAACATGTCTCTTGTTTCTGCTGATTAGTTAACCTAATCTTTTTTGAGGAAAACCTGTAAATTAGGAATGTGGCCTTGTACGTTTAAATATTGTTGGATATGATCATCTAAGTTTAGTAGGAAGAAAGTTTCCCAGGATACAAAAAGATCACACGATATTGATGTTTTTGTTGGACAGAGAGAGAATTAAACTTGGAGCTTTTTCTCTGAATTACATATCCCACACTTTGTATTATTTTGTTTTTTAAATTTGAGATCAGGTCTCTCTAAATTGTCCAGGGTGCAGTGAAATTCTGATCTTGTTTAGCCTCTTGCAGTTCCAAGAATATAAGCATGTACCAATATGCCTAGCCAAGACAGGGGTTCTTTTATCACCACTATTAACCATGATTACAATGTTCAGTTACATGAAACTTCAGTGAGGCATGTTATCCTAGCAGTTTGGGACTCTGAGGCAGGAAGACTGCAATATCAAAGTCAACCTTCACAATGGAGCAAGATCCAGATAACAAAGTATAATAATGGTGCTGTATATCTAGTGTGAAGTAACTTGCATAACATGCACAAAGTCCTAAATTTAATCTTCAGTACTGAAGAATAAGTGATTAATATTCAATGGAAAATTTGCTGTAGTATTTGAATTTTCTTCTACTTGCACATTAATGTTGTACATTGTATGGTTGTATGAGACAGCTCAAGATACTAGCCAGCAACAACAAGTCACAGTTCCATTTGTGACAGGACACCAAGTGAAAAGAACTAAAATTTGGCTCTGGAATATGAAATCTACAAAGTATTTTTCTGTGTTGGGACACTCTGTTAGTCATGTTCTCCTGACAAGTTGCAAAGGGGCATGTTATGAGTACTGTTTGTAATAAAAGAGCATAGCTCTGGATTTTGGTTTGGTTTGATTTGGTTTATTTTTTATATTGCAGAAAAGTGTACCACTCCAAACTGTCCAGCTTACTTTACTAAGACAAGGTCACAGGAAAGAAATTGTCAATAAACAGACATAAGGCTAAGGGTATAGCCACACTTATCAAGCATGTATAATGTTGAATGCTGACTCTGGGAACAATTCTAGCTCCTTTTTTCTTGGAGAAAATATTTGACTTTGTACTTCACACTATTTTGTTGGCCCACTGCCTCTTCCTTGCACTTCATGGAGTTAAGTCTTATCTGTCGGCAACTGTCATATCCAAGCCTTGAGCCTGTTTTTCCTTTGCAGTGACTTGTATCTTTCTAGGGAAAGAGATCAGCCTTTGCAATATGTTGCACATGTGATGGAGCTTGCAGTCCATGAAATTAACTCATATTCTTGTACAACATAGAAGGCCCTGGGAATGGCCTATCGAGAAGAGCAGTTAGTAAGCACAGAGCTTCAGTTCAAGCCACCTGTTAGTCTGACCCCTAGACTTCCCAGTGCATGTCTTAGCTAGCAAGGACTGGACCCTTTTCTGGTTTTCACTCTAGTGTCATGAGAAAGGTAACTAAAAGGGGAAGAGAGACAGACACAGAGACAGAGAGAGACAGAGACAGAACAGACTGGGAGTTATTTGGGGAGTCCCTCAGCTTAGGTTTGGGGTGCAGAGGTAGAAAGATGGTAGTTCTTAGGATCTTCTTTTGCCCTCTCAGGGTTCCTTACCTTTGAGGAGCTTATGTGTCCACTGCACCTGCTAAGTTAAGAGAATTTCAGCCACTGTGAATTGACACTTCAGAAAACGTGGAGCGGTAAACTAACACCTTATTTATTTTTCCCCAATTATGAGAAAGCATGTTTTTCAAGTTCTATCAGTGATGTAAATGCCACAGTAAACATTCTTAGTACCTAGAAACAAATCTGTGAAGCCATTTCAACTCTGATACACAGTATCCCTATTAACATCACCAGTAGGCAATAATTCCTATTTCTCATAGTCACCAAAGTATTCCCAACTTGATGAATTTTATAGATATTGAGACTCATTTCCATTTTTTAATATTTTTTGTTATATCTTCATTTTTCTTTCCTGTGTAAACCCTGCTATGAATTTTATGCTTACATGTGTTCATATTGTGATGAGGATAGTTTTTCCCCCCCCAAATCCATTTTATTTCAAGGAGAAAATGAAAAATAAAAAAATTTCAAAACATATCAATCAGGGGGCAACAATGGTACATACATTGCACATTGTCAGAGGATATTTTTTTTTCTTTGTCTTTTTCCTTTTTATCGGTACCAGGGATCGAACTCACGACTGCCTGCTTGCAAGGCAGGCGCTTATGCTGCTGAGCTAAATCCCCAGCCCCAGAGGATACTTTTAATTAAATGTTTTTCTGTTTCTTGGCTATTTCTAGAGAATGAAAATACTTTCTGCAATTTTTCATCAACAGATTAGTGTGATCAAGCATTTTCTCTTATGAACAGAATTCCTAAAGCTTATTCTTTCTTCTGTTCAGTCACCATAACACTTTGCTTTACAAATGTATATCTGAAGTTTTTTCCACTCCTAGATCAGAAAGTCATTTTCCATAACTTCTTCCAAAACTCACATTATCATATTTAATATTTTTGTCATATATCTAAAGAGTGCATATATGATTTTTTGTTATATAAAAATGAGGTTTACTTAGCCCATAAAATGTACAACTCATCACCATATAAATTATTCCTTCTCTCTGTACTGCCAGCCATAGAAAATCTCAATTTGGAAGAAGGCAGAAGTGTTTCTTGAAATTTCTCGTAAGTCTAGTGAGCCTACATTTTGTCTGATGTTCAGACTTAAATGACTGTAACTATAATGCTTCCTGAAAAACAAAAGGATACTTCACTTCATTTTTGAGGCTTGAAAAATCCTCTGCTTTTTCAAAGATTGTGTAAGATTTTGTTATATTCCTAGTTGAATCATTATGATAAATGTAGCAGTACTAAGGATATACTCTGAAGTATTTTTAGTATTTATAGACACTGTATTTATTTATAGTAAGAAAGAAGCAGTGGGAAAACCAATTATATCATCAAATCTAAGCCTGTACCTTATTCTCCACAATTGCAGATCAGCCGCCAATTGTTTTCTTTTTGTTTTTTGAGACAGCATCTCACTGTACTGTAAGCCTGTACCTTATTCTCCACAATTGCAGATCAGCCGCCAATTGTTTTCTTTTTGTTTTTTGAGGCAGCATCTCACTGTACTGTTCACATATGTCCTGAATTTCCTCTGTAATCTGGCTATCAAATTTTAATGTGTAGCATTATTAAAATATTGATTTTTAAAGAATTTGTTTATATTTCAGAGACATAGATACAACTGTTTGTCACGGTATGAACATTGCTAGGATTTCATAGAAGTCTTTCTTTGCAATGATATGTGAGGAATATTTTCTTCTATAAAACAAAATATTGGCATTAATCGAGAGAAGCTGAGTAGAATATCCATTATCTGCTTTTAAAACCAACATTGGAAATGTTAACAAAAATTTATAGGACTTCCAACTTCTAATTAAATGTATTTTTAAAATGAAACAGTTGTTTCCCTAAAATGTTCATCATATTCATATCATAATTAGATCACTGCATTCTAGATTCTATTAATATCAAGACACTTTTTTCTACTTGAATTTTAGCTGATAGTGTTCTTAAATCTAAACAAATGACCTTTTGGCTTCTATGTATTCAGTGTATAGAAAACCTTGAGAACAAGTTTTTGAGAGCTGTTTTTTATAGTATGTGTTATAAAAGGGAATCACTTACCTTTATTATATTGGCATGGTTTTATAGATTATTAAAACTTTGAGAAACACTAAATTTTTTTCAGTGATATTCTCTGGCAGGATAGGTGTTCTGGTCATTGTTCTAAAATGTTACATCTTCATAATATTATCATTTGTGGGCAGTGATTTCAACTCTTCTACTTCAATGGTTATACCATTTGTCTTTCTCACCTTACAACACCATGCATGAACTTTGGTTTCATGTGACAGAACTGTGAAGAATGTGATTACCTTTGACTGGTATCTGTGTAAAAAAATTGATTTAGTGTGTCTCCACTCAGTGTTCCATGTGTAAGATTTATGGTACATGTGCTGTGCTATATCTAGTTGTAGGTTCCTTGTGATTTTTAAAAATTAAAATCCTTTAAGAAATAATAATGAATAGAAACTAAGAATTATGTATTTTTCCAGATTCAAAAGATCATGTGAGTTTATTCTTTGTTGATTTAGATTTCTGATGCTTAATCATCTTTATCTTTGATGAAATTTTCACTTATGATAAAGTGGCTGTGTATGTTAAGCATCTGTGTGTGGATGCACGCTTATTACTTCAGATTAAGTCTAGAGGATCACACAGAGTAGGAACTTATGCTACCCTTTAGCTTTGTGCTAAGATGAGATACTATTTTCTAATAAATCCTTTCATTGGACTAAGTAATGTTTTATACTGGATTTAAAAAGTACGAGGGGGCTATAATTACTGTTTCTGGTAAACATACTCCCTAGTTTCAGATAGAGATTGCATTAACTTGAGGAAATTAACCTACAAATGTTTCTTACCCTTTTGTAGACATGAATAAGCACACCTAAGCATATCATTTTTAAGATAATCACTGTATTACTATGTTTTCTATGCATAACAAATATATTCACCATGAGGATTTAATATAGACAAATACAGATATGTATCTCACATCTTGATCAATATCTTAAAGTTTCCATGAAACACTTATAATATGATAGAAATATAAATTTACAAAAGAAAGTATTTTGATGACCAGTTCAGCTGCTTGCCATTTATTAGATTCTCCAATATTTTTCTTCATATACCATGTTTGAAAATTTATATTCAATATTCTGATTTGATTGGATTTATTCTGTTTTTTTTTTATTTGATTTTGCTATACCTGGTGAAATGGACTAGTATTGAAAGATAACAAGAAATACTATCTCAGCAATTGTTTTCTGAATATCCTGCTTAGAAGTTCTATACCAATTTTGCTGCTTTATTTTGACTGGCTTTGTTCTGTTCTGTTTTGTTTTGTTGGATGTTGCTATCTCTAAGATAAAAATTTAAAGTATTTTTCACAGTAATTATAAATAGAGAAAACAATACATTTATGATTGAACAATATATTTATACATTTATGACTGAAAAAATTGACATCCAAATTATCTCAAGTTCAATGACCTTAGGAAAAGGATTCTTAAAAATATCATTTTTCTATTTGTCCAATAGTATATTGTTACCATCTGATTCCTAAAAACTTAAGATGGAAGAATTTAATGTCTATGGTAAAATAACATACTTGCGACTTAACACATCATAAAATACTTTTCAGTCACAAAAAAAATTAAGAAATAAATCCAAATTTATAACATGTTTTCTGTAAAAAAAAAAAAACTCTTAATTGACTAAAAGCAGTTTTTCTGATACAATGACCAATATCAGAGTCTTTCATTACCTAATTTTCAAAATTGAGGATATTTAATAGATAAGAATGATGAAAAGCTTTAAGTTTTGATGAAATGATATGATGCAATCTTTGCTTTGTAAGTTTTCTTTCAAGTGTAAATTTTTACATATTAAGATGTGAAGAACAGGCTTAGTTAGAAGCTTTACCTTGATGAGACTTTGATCTAAAATGAATATGTTGATAATGTCTAAGATTTGCATATTGAGTAAATACTTTGTCACATTACTTACATTTTTAAGGCTTTTCTCTACTATAAATTCTTTAGTGTTCAGCAAGGGTTAAGCTTTGATCAAATTCAATGCCACATTCTTTATATTTCTAGGATTCCTTTCCAACATATATTACTGGGTTCTGAGTAAGAGATGAGCTTCAAAGGCTCACTCTTTGTATTGTATGAATTTGTTCTATTATGAATTGTCTGATGTTCATTGAGTGTTGAACTTCTATCAAAGGCTCTGTCACAGTGTTTACATTTGTAGGGTCTCACGCCAGTATGAATTCTTTGGTGCTGAGTAAAGGCTGAGCTTTGATGAAAGGCTTTGCCACATTCTTTACATTTGTAAGGTCTCTCTCCAGTGTGTCTTCTCTTGTGTAAAGTAAGATTTGAACTTCCAGCAAATGCTTTGCCACATTCTTTACATTTGTAGGGTTTCTCTCCAGTATGAATTCTCTGGTGTCTAGTAAGATTTGAACTTTGATGAAAGGCTTTCCTACATTCTTTACATTTGTAGGGTTTCTCTCCAGCATGAATTCTCTGGTGTTCAGTAAGAGTTGAGCGATATTTAAAGGCTTTGCCACATTCTTTGCACTCATAGGGTTTCTCTGCAGTATGGACTCTCTGATGTCTGGTAAGATTAGAGCTCTGATTAAAGGCTTTGTTACATTCTTTACATTTGTAAGGTTTCTCTCCCGTATGAATTAGCTGGTGTTGAGTAAGAGTTGAGCAAAATTTAAAGGCTCTGCCACACACTTTACATTTGTAAGGATTCTCCTCTCTATCAACTGTCTCATCTTGAGAAGGAGCTGTGTTTTGAATAAAATCTTGGCAGAACTCTTTACATTTGTAGGCTTCCTCTTCAGTTTCAATGTCCTGGTGTTGAGTAAGAGCTGAAGTTTTGGTAAAGACTGGGTCACATCCTTTACATCTGTAACGTTTCTCTACAGTATCAATTGTCTGCTGTTGAATATGGATACTTTGATGGACAGCAAGTTTTGAGCACTGATCAAAGACTTCCCCACATGTCTCACATTTATAAATATTCTGCAGAAAATGAATACATTGATGTTTACCAGGATTTGAGCCATGTGCAAAGTATTCACGAACTTTATTACACTGATGAATTTTCTGTCCAATATAAATATCCCGGTAATTTTGTGGGTTCAAGTCCTCACTAAAGACCTGTCCTTGTTCATTACATATATCAAGAGTTTTCCAATTATCTATACCTAGATTTTGATTAAGCATTAGTGGAGGGGTAAACAATGTCCCATATTTGTCAAAATGGTTTACTATAGCAGAAGAAAGACCTATTTTTTGAAGGAAAAATAATGTATGTTTCATAAAGAAAATCTCTAAATGATCATATCTAGACGTCTGCTTGTCTTTGTTAAGTCTCTTATCTCCAGAAATGTTTGAAAGGAAATTTAATCCAGCGTCAACAAATTTCAATTTTTTCAAGTAACTGAGTGAATCACAGACTAGACATATGTTTAGATTTTTAAAATTTTCTTTGTAAGAAAAGCTATGTTTCATAATTTGATTTAAATGTTTAATTATGGAATCACATGGATCATTGAAAGTAAGTGGTATAATTTGATATATTTTCTTAGATGATATATATTTTTGATCACTGTCATCAGTGAAGCTTCTGTTGATTTTAGCTATCCACCACTGCTTATGTCCATTACAAAATAATTTTGATCTTTCACACTTATCAATACTTTCCCATTCTTTTCTAAGCTGTAAATTTCTACGGTCACAATTTTTGTATCTTTGATTTTCCACTTTATGGAAGGAACAATGTACCTCTGGCTCTGATGAAAATCCTGGGATATGATGAGAAGTCATACCTGAAAAAGCGAAAATAATCATTATTCCAGGTACTAAACTTAGGTCAACAGTTTTACAAATCTAATCATTAATATAAAGTGGAATACTTTGTTAGTGCAGTACAGAGCACTGTTAAATACACTATTTGAACATTATTCTACATAACGACATTTGTCACATCATACTCTGATGACCATGCATTTTATTTCACTGATAGTAGGATAAAATTTTCACATAATAACCATCATGGTCATTCATGAAGTACCCTTTAGGAGAATTTTAATGAATAAAACAATGGTCAACTTCGTTAACAAAATTTCTGATTTCATAAATATATTCCATTTGATTAGCATCAATAGTAATACATCCTCTAACTGGTAAAAGTAAGAAACTTTGTCCTGGAGAAAAATGAAGGGGAAATCACCAGCGGGATAGAAAGAGACTATGAGGATTTAAGAGCATAATGAATACAAGGAAGTTAGCTTCAGCTTATAAAAAAATCACTTTTGATCTTAATAGAGCTTCTTAATTGACATATTAAATCCTGACTTCCTCCTTGAGCTATATAAGACTGTCACCTGTTCCCTCTGATTTGTTAATTCTTAGATACCTGGAAAAATGGCTGCCGTCCCTTGACTTTTTACAATCCAAGCTTCTTTGCTTTGTTCCAGAAAGGTGATCAGGTCTGGTTTACAGAAACTTAGACCTATTAATTGGAAAATAGAACATGACTTTTTGTTTAAATACTCCCAGCAAAGAGAAGATGTTATAACATTATTTCTTCAAATGTTTCTTTAAATATTCTTTCAGATAATGACTATTCTACAAAGGAAATATTTCTAATTTATAGATCCTGAGTTGTACTTTCTTATACTTTAAAATCAATATTATGGGAGAGAAACTGATATTTAAATTATGGCAACAATATATTATATTACTGAATTTCTAAATTTACTACAAATGTAAAATGAAGGAAATATAATATTTCAAACAAGACACACACAAAAAACTAAATGTTAATACAAATTCACTTGTCTATACCAAGAAACATTTTTTTTTTCATCAAAAGCAGGAACTTGAAGCAAATCAGAAGATCCTAAGCAATATGCTAAGAAAAGAAAAAATTAAACTATCATTTTGAATAACAAACTCTACAGGGAAATTAACCTCACCAAGGAAGACCAAGTTTCTATAATTCTCTAACATCACTTCTGTATACAAGTTCTGCTCGGCAAGGTCCAAGTATTCCCATTCTTCTGAAGAGAAATCAATGGCCACATCTCTGAATGTCAACAGTTCCTAAAACATAAATATCAGGACATATCATCAGGATATCTAGTGATAAAAAGAGCAGCAGTTTTATAGTGAAAATTGTGGTTTTAACCAAGCATTTTAACCAAGTAAATAAAGTTAAATTAAGTGTAAGGGAAAGAAAGTTTCATGAAATGTCTATGCACAGAGATAGAACATTAACACCACTGTGATATTAGGGGCCAAAAACAACACCAATGAAAATATGAAAACAAAAGAGATAAAGAATTCTAATCTACTCCTGGAAAAACATCAATTTTACTTAAAGCTCAATGTGTGCCTGTCTCCTACGAACTACATCCTCTCACATGGTATTTAGATAGCCTTTATAGAGCATAATAAACAATGCCTTTTTTCCAATCCACTTTTTGCAAGAACATTTCATTTTCATTTTTTTTCAAATGTGAAAACATTTTAGAAACAGTATTATTTGGCTCAAAAACAAAATGAACACTTTCAACAACATAAAAAATATGTTAGCTCAAGTAAAGCATGGGCTGGTAACTGACAGGAAACACACTGTGCCAGCTGGGGTGTCAGCAGCTGGATAGCAGAAAGTAGAATCTACCAAGCTGGGCAGCAGCTGCTGGACAGAGGAACATTACAATCAATTATGTCACACTATTTTTTTTAAACTGTACTTTGCACTGTGTCAGGGACACAGGCTGAATGTGGATTTAGGGAGGTTTGGGCCCAGAAGTGTTCAAACTAAAATTGGTAGAAAACTTGGTATCTGTCCTTCCTACCCAAATGCAGACCTGTTGGGCCTAGCAAACTCTAGTCCACGCAGAGGTATTCACAGTACGTGACACCTCCACTGGGACCACGGACACCTATGACAATGACTGCACTGAGAGAGGAGCTGAGGTCACAAACCTGGACTAAACCTCTCAGATGGGCAAGTGAGAGCTTTGACACTTGGCCCAAATCCAGCTGCATCCCCATGTAGATAAAATACAGCCTGAGACACTGAAGGTGAATCTACCCCCAATGCTGTCAACCTGACCTTAGCATTCACCTGTAGGGAAGAAGTGCAAGCAGCCTGCAGGCTGCACACAACAGCTTAGCCATTTTTACATAAGCCGAGAAAGAACATTCTGGACAGAAGTGTTTCACTTCCTTCCTAACATGAGGCAGATTTTAATAGTAAAGCCCAGAAAAGAACTGTCTTCAGTACATTAGCAAGCAATACCTCTTAGTCTTGTTTTTACACCTTCTGCTTTGAGTGTGTTCCCTGTTGTTTTGTTGTATTTTACCCCAATAATTTTTCCATATGCTTAGTAATTACATATGTCTTAGTATACTAACTGGACTTTTTTCACCTTATTTTTATCTCTCTCATTTTTTTCCCTACCCCCATATTCTCTTTTCCAGCCACTTTTTATATATGTTTTAGTACTAAGTTCTACATGCTTACTGCATAACTTTTTAGACTATTCTATAGTAATTTTGTTCCTTTCTTTTTATGGCTTAATGGAATTATGGAGACCCATAAAACTTTTAAACATCTTAATATCTGCTTTGCTTTTAGACATGACCCAAAGTCTGTAACTCCCCAACAACTGAATCCAAAGATGCGTAAGTGGAAGAAATGCCAAAAAGTTAACAGAAAAAATATGACTGTTAAAATGACCAGTGAATTCAAAGAAGATAATGAAATAAAATCCAGTCTCTCGTGCTGTATAAAAATCAACTCAAGGTAGTTCAAAGGCAAAAAGGCCTACAACTAAAATTGAGAAATTATTACATATTTATCAAAATTTCTTGTGACAAGCACAAAGGCAAACAAAACATAAAAGCTCATTTTGCAGAAAGGTTACCATTTTTAGTCTCCTTCTCATCCTGGGGTATCACTTCACTGGTGCTGCATCTGAATCATTAGCCAGTTTGCACTCACTGAAGTGACTCATTTATCATGGCAAGTTCTCTGGCCCTGCCTGACTGTAAGAGGCCTAAGAAACGTGAGGACTGGATGCAATGTTTAACATCATGGTTTAAGTAGGCAACACACCCATATAGGAGACATTATCTTCTCAAGGAAATCAGCAGTTTTATCCCCCTCAGGATTTGTTAAATAATCACTGTAAAAGTTATGACCTTATTAGAAACGTGCTTTTACATTTCAAAGTCAAACATTTAAAGAAAAACGTAGTATTAGCAGACTTAGGAATTTTTGTTCACAAAGTAAGAAACAAAGTGCACAATGCTTGAGATGGTGTTTGAAAAGACATGTAGAGTGTACCTTTGTAGTAAACAGCTTGTAATACAGTTGTATTATACCAAAAAAAGTTACCAATAAAAGCTATGAAGATTCAACTAGCATGTCAGAAAGGGACATCCAAATGACAAATAAATATATGAACATGCCTGGGGTGAAGGTCTGTAGAAAATAATAGCTATCAAGTATGGGACAATGGGGTGCATGCCCAGTACCACAAGAAAACAAAGTAAAATAATGTGTTCAAATCAATACTCATATAGAGATGCTAATATTGAAATAAGCACATATTACTGCATGATCACCAGAAAGACATAATAGCAGGAAAAAAAACCATATATATATATATATATATATATATATATATACACACACACACACACACAATCTAAATCCTTTTAGATCTAGAATTGGTAAGCAATGCTGCTGGCACTGTCAGTTGGTAGAGTCATTTGAGACTATGTTTTGGAAGTAACTTCACATGTGTCTCCTATGAATCATTAATTTTACTCCCATAAGGACAGCAATGCAGCTACAGAATTTATAAGAATGCTATAATGGTGCTAGTTGGAACAAAAATCTATAGCTGCCATTACAAAAAAGGACAAGACACTAATAAAAGAGGGCATGCTGAGGTTTTCTGGAGCAGTAGTACTGTTCCAGTTCTTGATCTAAGTAATAATTATATTATGTATTTCTTTTGTAATAATTCATTGCTGTATACAATTTTGATGTTATCAATTTTGTCTTAATAATAAGCAGTTCTTCTATTAAACGAAAGGTGATGATGGGCAGAAAGAATGTTCATAAGAGAGCACTAGAGCACACAGTGGTTAATAGGCTAATTATGTTGTCTGATACCAGCTTCATAGATGTGTGATATATGTTAAATATATTACATGTTAAATATGCAATTTGTTTCAATTATACTTCAATAAATTTGTAAAACAGTATTATGCATGTAAATGTAAGATTAAATGAAAACAAACAGTCTTAAATAGGTAAAATTTTTAAAAATCCATTAACTAATCATGGCTCAACAACTTAGAGAAGTCAAATCTTATGAGATTTCTTAATAAGGGAGCAAGATATAACTTTACTAAAAGTGAATATATTATACAGACTAGCATCAATGTTGAAAGTTGGTTCGTTTTTAAAAGACTCATAAAATTCAAAGAGTTCTGGGAAACTTAACAATAAAAAATTACATATTGTTATGTAATTGCAAAAATATAGTCCATATATAGTCATGTAATCATGGGGATACATTTTGGGAAAGGCAATGCTGAATGATTCCTTTATTGTACAAACATAACAGTGTATTTACACAAACATAGCTTAGTACACATTCATGCCATATATTATAGCCACTGTTGGGTTAAAATATCCGTCACTGACCAAAATATCAATATACAGCACATCATCATATATTATACATCAGCGTTGATATGGTAGAGAGATAACACAAACCAGCTAAACTAAAAACTATAATACATAAAAAGAACCTTTCTTTTTAGACACACATATATGATTGCACTATAGATGAAAAGACTCCTTTTGGAATGAAAACTGTCAGGAAAATAGGGCATTTATGTGACAAAAATGCTACCGCATACTTTCCTCATAGGTAAGAAATATCTAAACTCTGTAGGGCATGATGGACACACCTATAATCTCAGCACTTGAGATGCTGAGGCAAGACGATCACTGTGAGTTCAAGGCCAGTCTAAGGTATATAAACAAGTTCAAGGCCATCCAGAACTGCATAGTGAGACCCTGTGTCAGAAAAACAAAAAAACAAAAACAACAAAAAAGTAAACTATGACTTATAAAAGTTGCTTTAGGAAAGTAAATTTTTTTTAAAGTCACATAAAACAATATAAAAAATATTCATACACTGGACATTAAGCCATTATGGCAGCACTAACTCTTTGGAGACTGTTATAGTCAGGGGTTGTACACAGACAACAATTACGACCAGGACATGGAGTTTATATTATTATTTTTACAATGGTCACCAGAAGTTAACACAGGAAAATGCAGGAAATCTATCCACAACACCAAAGACAGATTATTTAGTCAAAAGCCTAAACCCCATAGCAATGTCCCACGAGTCCAGATAAAAATCCAGAGCTCAGGACAGTGCCTCACAGGAGTCCAACTGGAGGCCCATAGCCCACAAGAAAGACTCATGCTAGTCTCTTTTACGGATCTGTGCCGGGAAAACCCAAGGGTCAGCGGTGGAAACCAAAAAGTCTATGCCAGCAAGATGAAGGAGCTGTGCTAGTGGGATGAGGGTTCTACGCTGGAGCGGAGAAGTCACACAACGAAGAGCAGGGCTATCCTGAAAGGCACCACAGCTGTTCTCAGCGACAGGAAGGCCCCGAGCTCCTCCAACAACAAGCACAGTTGGGTGCGTGCCAGGACTGGAGCCAGGAAGCAATGCTCAATATGAAGACCAAAGCTTCTCCAGGAGAACCAACAGCTCAGACAGCAACTCGTAGGAGAACCCACAATACCTCCTTAACGCCTCAACCCCTCAACACCTCCTTCTCCACCTATTTATCCTGGCAACCCTCCTCAGGTGGAGCATCTTCGCTCAATGCATGCTGATGTAATCCAGTTGACCACCAGTTCACAATCCGTAACAGAGCCTGAGGCAGGAAGATCAACAGTTCAAATCCAGCCAGTCATTTGGTGACTTGGCAAGACCCTGTTTCAAAATTAGTGCAGCTCAGTGTGATGGTCTTGGGTTCAATCCCCAATACACACACACACACACACACACACACAAAGGGACACTAAAATAAAAACTTACTCATGAATTTAATCCATTACAGAGTGCATAGTGAAATGACAGAGTGGGAGAAATTATTTGCCTAACATCTAATTAAACATTTTCAATGGCTCTAGAAGAAAAACAGGCAAGAGACTTTAATGGTCAATTACACAGGAAATCAAATGTTCAATAATCACCAAAAGCTCGACATCTTTAGAAATTAAAAAAAAAAAAAAATCACACCAGATTGAAAAACAGTATTGGCAAATACATTTGGGAGGATGAAACTCTCCTAAACCGCACATGGATAGTCAGCTGTTATTTCCACGTGGAGGAACAGTTCACCTGGGATTTCCACAGCAGTTATCAGCGTAAGGAATTACTGCATAGGAGGACCCTGATAACACATGAAGACACAGCGGTATTGGTGCAAATAAGTGAAATTCACAGAGTGAGCACAAGAGGAGACACATTCAGTATGAAAGACACAATGAAGTGTAAGGCACTTTCTAAGTTCCAGCCACAAGGTCGATCTTACATGCGCAGTGAATGTTATATAATATCATATGCACCTGGTATCTCACATATAGTATTAAACAGGAAATATATAGAAATTGATGAACATTTACAAAGGGACATTTTAAAAAACTCAATACACACGTTACGTAAATGGTGAAACAGTGTAAATGCCACCGTTTCCCCCAAATTAATCTATATCATTTCATTAAAATTTCAACGTACTTAACTGATAATGAAAGATACCAAACTAAAAATTCTCAAATTTATCTGGAAGATTCAAATATAAGTCGATATGAAATTAGCCACGAAAATGCTGGATAAGAGTAACAGAAGCAGCAATCTTTGGCGCACTAACATTCACTCATTCAAAACGCAGGGTTTGGGTTGGGGATAGAGCTTGGGGGCAGAGTACGTGGCCAAAAGGCCCTGGAGGTAGAGAACATGGGCGTTTGGAAATCTCGAGGGAAAATGGGGTGATCCGATCCCCGAAGGGCAAGAGGCTGGGCAGCTGTGGACAACAGCGCCTCCAACACCGTAACCACACACAGCCATCGCGCAGAAACGCAACAAGTGCGGGCTGCAGGCTCTGCCCCTCCGGAAGCCAGAGGGGACCGGACCCGGGGACCGGCGGCCCAGAAAGGGCTCCTTCCTGGACGGAGTCACCCTTCAGGGACCGGGTGGGAGGGACCGAGCGCCCAAAGTCCCAGACGGCAGCCCCGCGGACCAAAAGGGCCGGCACTGGCGCCCCGCGGACGCCCCAGGTGCAGACTCGGAGCCACACGGAGCACCGGTTTCGTCACAGCAGTCCCCACAGGCCGCGGAGCCTCCTCCTCCCGGCCTCAGGGCACCGGGCCACACACTCACCATGCCTGGCTTCCAGGGTGCGCAGCGTTCTCCCTGTGGAGCTACACCCGCCCATCACACAGAGAACAAACCAACCCTCCCCGCAGCACAGCCCGCAGCTGCTCCGGAGCGGAAACGCGGAGCCCGGGGAGGGACCAGAGCCCAGGGGCTCGCAGACAAAGGCCGGGAGGTGGAGAAGGCCCGCCCTTGCTCAGCCTCTGATTGGACAGAAATACAGACCCCGCCCCAGATCTTGAATGACAGTAAATACCACCAATCTGAGGGTGAATAAGGACGGTACCGATTCTTGGTTTCCCCATCCCTAACTCCTTAAGTAGGGGATATTTTTAAGGCAGTTTTGTAGGAGTACTTACCGCTTTCTGGGCACATCTGCATTTAAACTCTGTATAAGGTCGTATCTGAGCTGGATATGTATGGTGGTGTGTGCTTATAATCCCGATAACACTCTGAGATCTTGAGCCAGGACAATCAAAATTTGGGCACAGCCTGAGCAATGTGGTGACTTAGCAGGATCTTGACTTTAAAAAACAACAACCAAAACGGAGTATAATTGTGTGCAAAAGACCTGGGTTCAATACATAGTACCTTGAAAAAAGTTGTATCAATTTATTTAGTACGTATATGTCTATATTACTCAGAAAAGGAACGAATATTATGAAAAATGTTTTCACTTTTCTGGTATCTGCAATTATGAGAAGGTAACTTGAGATTTGAAAACAGAAATGATCTCCCCAGGCAGCAAAATTCAGTATGTTTAAAATGTGTACAGACTGTTGATATACGGATGATGTAAGACCCCCAAATAATGAGGGAAACATTGTAACTGCCAACTTGCTAGATGTATGAAACATTGAGTATGTGTTCCCCAAAATCGAAGAATGAATTCTAAGCCACAAAAAAGCTTAAGAGCAGAAAATATTTCTTGGGGGAAAGAAAGCTTCTGTCTAAAGGACAGAAGAGGGCTCAGGTTTACTTAGGAGCTGACTTTCATGGGAAGCTTTATGGAGTAAAATCACAAGGTGGTTATAAACTGGGACAACACTATGATCAACTGATAAGATTACACATTTAGTTGCTTAGGTATATTGATCCAATAGAAAATCACAAGGTTCATAAAAGTCAGAACAAAACTATAGTCAACCTGTACCCTAACTTCCATGAGGGAGCACAGGGCAATAACTATTCTGCCTGGACCTAAAAAATGTCTTCTGTTTTCAATTCCTGTCAGCTCACCTCTCTTCACCTTTAAATGGACAGACTCCAGTTTTGAACTCAAAGATTAACTGATCTGGACTCAACCTCTCAGAGTTTAAAAAAATACGTTTATTTTCTTTAGAGAAACCCTCATAACTGACTTTGTTAGTTTCCCATCACCAAATATCACTATACTTCTGATAAATGACACCCAAGCTGCCTGCTGGAAGACACATAAATTCTGCTACAATATCTGGCAGAAACTAGTTATAAGAAGAACTCCACAAATTTCTTGATGCTCTTGGCTTCTACAGAAATTGGATCCTTGAGTTCACAAAAATGATGCCTGTGTAACTATTTGGATCCAGTCACTAAGCACTGACTCAACCCTTTGCCTTCACATTCTAACACTCACTGTCTTTTGAATCAAAAAACTGACAAGCTCGTCTTAGGCCAACACTTAATTGTCCAGCTTCCACATGCTAAGCTGGGCCTTACACAGTACTAAGGGCTCTTATGCAAACATTCTCATATGACTTTTGTGGCAACTGCCTGGTATCGACTGATGAATTGTTCTTGAGCCAATCAGACTTGCAAAATGAACCTCCTGACAGATGCTCAGTACACACTTTCTACAGATGGAGATAGCTATGTTAAGAATGGAGTCCAACAGGCTAAATATGCTGTGGTCACCTTGGACAAAGCTATTCTGGCAAATCTGTGCTCAAAACAATATAGTTCAGAGTCCTAAACCCGCTGTGGGGATCCAATTGATTGAAACATCAACCCCAGCCAGAAAAATCTTTACCTAGTACTCCTAGAATAGAAGACCTGTCCCCCCTATATGTTCTACAAATTCAAGATGCAGGGCTGGCACCCATATCCCTTCAGCCAGCTCAAGCCTTAGTGTCTGTGTCATTGGCCCTGACTGAAAGGTAAGCTGATAGTCTTAGTGCTCATCTGCACCTATTCAGGCTGGCCCAAGACATTCCCTACCTAAACCAAGAGGCAATAAAGGTTTTTAGGCTTCTGCTGTGAAAAATTATCCCTTGAGATGATCTACCCTTTACTATTGAAAGTAACAACAGGCCTAAATTTGTAAGAGATTATTCAAAACTGGCATGACTATACAACATATAGGTCACAAAGCTCTAAAAAGTTACAAGCTACAGGAACAGCTTGTAACTAGTTCCATAAAGTTGGCTAAGAGACCAGGTATACCTGTAAACACTCTTACACATATATCCCAGGTACATATTACCTACCTCTACCAGTTGTGAAAAACAGCTCCTTTGAAGAGAAGATACATTCAAAATCCTGACCTAGTCACTCTGGATGCTGACCAGTCCAGTTGGACGGCTGGAGCTTGAGGACAAAATTCATAGGATTGCTCCATACCTCAATACATTATTCCTCTTGGCCCTTTCAGTCTGCTTACTGCAGGACTTTTTGGCCTTAGCTCTATGGATGACTGCTCTGAGATCATAATTAAAAAAAAAAAAAAACAAATAGTAAGGCCTTCACAAATGATAACGATTTGGTAAGCATTCTAGGCATATTGGAAACTCTTAGATCTAATTAATTCTTTCATTCTCTTGTCAGTCAATTCAGAGAGAAACCATATAAGAAGAGAAACAAAACAGAAAATCCTGGTGGGAATTTTCAGTCTTTAGACCTTAACTAGGGTCATCCTGGGACTACTGACACTTCCTGTTACTGCCTCTAGATGGGTCTTGTCCCAAAAGATTACATGTAACATGCACAGCAAAGGTTTGCCAGAGAAAGTAAAAGGGAGAGGAGAGAAGCAGAAAATGCCCCCAGCCAGAATACAATTGTCCAGGTGATAGCTCAGATTGCAGTGCCCGTTGTTTGTCTGTTAGAAATATCTGGTCACTGTGATGGTTAAATGGTCACTATTATGCATATTATAAGAACAAATCAAAGACAGCCAAGTACTCCAACTCTGTACCTCACTCTTACAACTTTTAAAAAGTCTCTCTCCATGGTCCTTCAGGACCTTAAATTTTGAGAATAATCCTGATCAGTGCCAGTTAATGTAAAATAAATCTGTCTCAAAATACAAGTATTTCTGCTTGCTATTGCACATTCTACTCCCTATTTCCCTATTACACCCCCCGGTCAGGGTAAAATTACTATACTAAGTGGAAAATCATTGCATACAGGTTCCTGGTATAAGTTGGATTATATTAAATACTTTAGAACTTTCTCCTACAATTATAGAATTCAGGATAATAGTTGCCACAGTTTGTCAGTAGCCAGGCTGTGCTTTAGTATATTATTATTATTAACTGACCTACTTTAACCAGGATGTCATATTTGCTATAACCATTTTACCCCCTGTATAACAACACTGTGATTGTAAGCAATCATAACCATAACCATAATCCAGTACCAAAGGAATGCGACACAAGTCAAATAGATAGCAACTTCACATTCTTACTCTATTGGGAAGGTAGGTCTTTGTGTTAGGCATAAAGACACAGAACCACCTACATCCTGTGCGACAGATATTTTCTCAGAAAGCCTTGACACTGGCAATAAAGCTATCTAACATAAGAAATCTATAAGTGTCAACATAGAAAATAAAATAAAATAGAAAAGACAAAGAAGCAAAATGCAACCACAAATGCCCAACCCACTCAGCACAATCCAGAGCTAAAAAAGATAGAGGAAATTGGAATGGAAATCCTTGAAATGATGCCAGCACAAGTGAAAAAGCAAATGGAAGAGGCATAGAAAAAATAATCTCTAAGGTAGAAAAAAGAAATGATGATCAAAATGAAAAATATTAAATCAGATACAGATAAACACATAGAGGAGCTCAGGAAAATGATGGAAATCATGAATACCCGACACTGATAAGAGATGGAATCAATGAAACAAATACAGGAGATTAAAAACTCTATTAAAAGCACCTGAATAACAAAATAGAATACCAATCTAAAAGACAGAATTATGACTAGTGACCAGGAAAAGAAAGATATTTTAAAAATTGCAAGAGACTACAAAAAAATCAATCCAACAGCTATAGAGAGGAGCTATAGAATTGGAGTTCATGAGAAAGCTGAAGACAGTGCAAAAATCATAAAAACCTCTCTACAGATTTAGTGGCAGAAAATTTCCCAAACATGAATAAAGAATTTGACATACAAGTAAAGCATTTAAAGCTCCAAATAGCCATTACCAAAATAAATCCACACCAAAGCATATAATACTCAAGACTCCAGAAATTCAACACAAGAACAAAATATTAAAAGCAGATCAAGAAAAAGAAACAAATCAGCTATCAAGGATAACTCATCAGAATCACAGCATACTTCTCAACCAAACTCTCAAATCAAGGAGATCTTGGACTGAGGTATTTCATGCCCTAAAACAATCTTCAACCCAGATTAATGTACAACACAAAATTATTCTTCAAAATCTACAGAGAAATATGATACTTTCACGAAAAGGATCAATTTAAGAAATTTATGACCACCAAGCCAGCTCTACAGAATGCTATGAAGGATATATTAAAAAGAGACAACAAATACCACAAACGCATGAACCCCAATAGAAAGCAGCTGCCAGACAGGGCAAGCAATTGAACAGAGAAAGACAGGGAACCAACAACAGAAAGATAACTTGAAAAAAAAATAAGCCAGTACATATCATTTATACCCATCAACATAAATGATTTCAACTCACCAATCAAAAGAAACAGACTGGCAGAATAGAACAAGAAGAAAGATCCAACAATACATTGCATTCAAGAAACACATTTAAACAAAAAAAATAGACTAAAATTCAAAGGATAGAATACAATTCTTCATGCCACGGTGTGGGGTGGGAGGAAACAGAGGTAGCTATTCTATTTACAATCAATGCAAACCTTAAGCCAAAACAGATCAAAAGAGACAAAAAAAAGCGCACTACATATTTGTCAATGAAAACTACAAGAAGAAATAAC